GCCATTGACATTCATGTGCGAACACTTCACATGATAGAAAAACACTTTAAGCACTTCCCGAATTTCGGGCAATTTTCTTTCATCTTTTTCTTAAACTTTTCCAATTAAATTTACACTAATCGCTTTTGATCGCGTAAAGGGCTTACGATTCGACAACATCGCACCTATCTTTTTAATTAGTCCTTAATTAAATCTCTCATGCAAACCTCTCATCAATAGCAGCTTTTATTTCCCGGAGATTTTCAGGGCTGTTCTGTAGTTACGGCAAATTTTTCCCACTTACACTCCTAACCGTACAAACTATATATGTATTTGTCACTCTTTTCATCACTTCCTTGTATGGCTCATATTTCCTCATCTATATTGAAAAAGTATAATGCATTTTCATTATGGATAGAAAATGTGGATGCTTTTCCACCGGATATCCCCCTCCCACCCCACCGTTCGTTCTTCTACGCCGGTGTAAAGCGGCGATGCGCAACCCTGCCGTGCGCGCACGCTCAGCGGCGGGCCGGCCGCGGCGCGCCCCGCCAGCCCATAGCCTCACGTCGTCATTGGGCCGTTTGTGACCTTACGCTTCAAGATACGGCAAAACGAACAAAATTTCTAATCTAAAAGGTCCGTAACTTGCCATTTTCCTTCAGAATTGATGTGTCGCTTGCCAATATTTTTGAATTTTGGGTTTAGGCCCTTTAGGCCCTTTGAGGCACGGGTTAAAATTTTTTTAAAATTTTTTCCTTTTAAGGGGCTCATTTAGAGACTACATAGAAACTTTTTAGGGGTTGACCAACTTGATTTTTGCAAAACTCAAAAATAAGATACACCCTTGAGTGGGTGCATCGACCTGGTATATAAAGTTTCTGCAATTTTTTACGGCAAATCAGTAGATTTTCGGGATGTAGATTGCTTACTTTCAATTCATGAATGAATAAAACAACGACATGGTTGAACTTCTTTGCATGAAAAGACGTTTAAAATAACAAAATCAAGACGTATTTAATGCAATTGCGTTTATTTCGAGTCAATTTCTTTTCAAGAATATAACGGGATTTATACTACCGGTGATTTGGGTATGTTAGCCCCAAAATACCTTTAAATCGATTTTATCTTCCAGGAGTTCGACAGAGTTTTTCCTTTCTTCGCTTAAATTATTCCGTAGCGCTTTTCCTCAAGAATCTGATAAGATTTTGCTTGAGGCAGATCAAAAAGCTTAAATTTGATCGAATAGCTTTCTACATTCACAATACACGGTCTCGTCAAGGTGCGTCGTTGACCTCGCAGTGTTGGATCGTGATTTCTCTTGTTGTGCTATTTGCCTGTTTTGAAATCTCCATAAATGAAAACTAAAGGAGTTGATATGTGCGAGTTAATGACGCGCCTTATCAACACATTGTTTTGGAGTTCACTGCTTGTTTTCCTTGTAAGTGCCTCCAAAGCACATGAAATGACTCCTTGAGGGGCGGGAAAGTTTTACTGAAATTCACGTCGTCTTCTGAAAATATGCGCAAATTTTTACCACGAAGAAGAAGAACATCGAGTTATCATTTTTTCCGTACACGGTAGGTATGCCTATGACAGGCACCGGGAACGACTTTCAAAATTACTGATGCAACCAGCACGACTCCGAAGTCAGCGGAGACTTTCTTAAAGCGTCTCCTAAGATTTTCCCCACGCAATAATCCCCTTCAAACTCCGCCCAGGGTTGAGATGTTCTTTTTTAGCTGGTCCCAAGCCCAGGTTAAAGAGGAGGGTTGTGCGTAGGGCCAGCAACCCTACCGCGTAAAAACACCCCTTGCTACGAAAAGCATGGCGATGCCTCGGTACACATGGAATCAACGGAGAAATCGACCAAACGAGTATGGATCATCGGAAAAAAAGAAAAATGGTAAAGCCAAAGAAATTTCAATGGCAACCTGGAACGTGAGAACAATGAAGCAAGCGGGAAAAATGATGGAGATAGTAAGCGAAATGGGAAAGTATAAAATCGAAATGGCCTTGCAGGAAATCAGATGGAAAGGTGAAGGCAAGTTCGACAAGCCCGAATTCAGCATAATATATAGCGAAACAATCGAAAATACCGGTCAATTTGACAGCAATTAAAGACATTTAATTGCTGTCGTTGTTTTTGCTTCACTATCCAACATATTGCCAAGATAGGTACTTGAATTTTTCGACGCCCTCAAATTCCTTCTGGTCTATGAACAGACTGCATGGTTTTCTCTCACTTCTGATTTTGACAATACCATATACTTGGTCTTGCGTACATTCACTATCAGGTCCAAGTTTTTGGCTCTCCTCTCTAATTCTTTGTATATTTCAATTAATCTCTCTTTCGTGCGTGCTATTAGCGCTATATCGTCTGCATATGCGCATATCTGGCTGGACTTGTTGAATATTGTTCCCCTTTGATCGATATGTTTTACAGCTAGATGTAATGCCACTAGGAAAAGGGTGTCTGATAGTCCATCTCCCTGTTTTACACCTTTATTAAAATCGAATACTTCACTCTTGTTGTTTCCAATCTTTACCTTCGCCTTTGTATCACTCATAGTCATTATTACCAGTCGAATAAGTTTTTCTGATACTTGTAGTTCCTTCAGGGCTTTTCCCAGTTCCTTCCTGTTTACGCTGTCAAAAGCTTCTTTAAAATCGACAAACAGCAGATGGAGATCTTTTCCGTATTCATAACACTTTTCCATGACTTGTCTGATTACAAAGAGTTGATCTGATGTGCCCCTCCCTGTTCTAAATCCACACTGGTATTCGCCAATTTCCTTCTCAACAATTTTCTTGAGTCTCTCATTTAAGTATCAGGGAGGATAATATTTTACATGCCACGCTCAGTAGAGTGATTCTTCTATAATTCTTACATTCGAATTTATCTCCTTTTTTGAAAATGGGGCAGATGGTTCCAATACTCCATTTCGCTGGCATTTTCTCTGATGTCCATATTAATTCGATTAACTTGTGTACTTCGTTTATCAGTGCCTCTCCCCCATTCCTCAGTAGCTCGGCTGTTATTCCATCTTCTCCTGGTGCCTTGTTGTTCTTGAGTTTCCTTATTCTTTCCGCGACCTCCTCTCTAGTCGGTATTTCATTGAGGTCATCTTGTCTTTCTTCGTTTTTCACTTCTTCTGTTTCCAGTCTTTCTCCACTACTTTTCTCGGACAGCAGCTCTTTGAAATGTTCTGCCCATCTCTCGAGGATGTTCCTTTCTTCTTCAACTAAATGTCCTTCTTTGCTTTTGCACACGCTTGCTCTGGGCTGAAACCCATTTCTTATTTTGCTCATTGCAGCATAAAATTTTCTACTCTCATTCTGTTTGCTTAGCTGTTCTATCTCTTCCATTTGTTGTCTTACCGCCTGTCTCTTTTTCTACCTGAGGAGTTTGTTTGCTTTCCATCTTAGTTGTTGGTATCTGTCTACACTACTTCTCGTTGACCTTTGCAGCATTTTTTCTCTTGCCTCGTTTTTTCTTTAACAGCCTTCACACATTCCTCGTCAAACCATTCTGCGTTTCTGCACCGCCTTTTCTCACCAATTGTCTCTTCAGCTGCTTCCTTTATTGCAGTCTCCATTTTAGCCCATACATCTTCTGGGGCTGGGTTATCTTCCACTTCTTCTTTCCTTAGTTTTGTTGCCAGCACTGCCTGGTAATGCTTACCTACGTGCCTCCTTGTTCTTGTTGAGGTTTTCAGTTGCCCATCTCCTTGTTTCTGGCACACTTGTTTTAATTGCATTGGCAATTCTTTCTCGAACCTTGACTTTCACTAGGAAGTGGTCAGAATCACAGTTTGGCCCTCTGCAGCTTTTAACATCCATCACCGATGATCGGTGCCTTGCTGATACTAGCACAAGATCTATTTGATTAACTTCCTCGCTGCCTGGAATTTGCCATGTCCCAAGATGTATCTTCTTGTGTGGGAACGATGTGCTTCTGATATAGAGTTTATTCCGTTCTGCAAACTGTGCTGTCATATTTCCGTTGTCGTTATTCCTTTCGTGTAATGTATAGTGTCCTGCTACTTGCTTCTGATCTTCCATTTTGCCAATTTTGGCGTTGAAGTCGCCCATTACCATTAAGAGGTCATAGTGACTTACTCTGGTGCACACTTCTTCCAGCATAAAACCTGCTCCAAATTGACCGGTATTTTCGATTGTTTCGCTATATATTCCCTAGTGGAAGTCAGCCTTGTGCAGGTCCGTGCGGCGGAAGGCTAGGTCCGTGCAAGTCCCCGTCACCTCCCGTGAGCCCGTGCAGAGGGAAGCGAAACAAAGGCATAATTTCGGGAATCCCATCCTTCGCAGATGGCTGCACGAGGTGACGGGGACTTGCACGGACCTAGCCTTCCGCCGCACGGACCTGCACAAGGCTGACTTCCACTAGGGTTATGCTGAATTCGGGCTTGTCGAACTTGCCTTCACCTTTCCATCTGATTTCCTGCAAGGCCATTACGTCGATTTTATACTTTCCCATTTCGCTTGCTATCTCCATCATTTTTCCCGCATGCTTCATTGTTCTCACGTTCCAGGTTGCCATTGAAATTTCTTTGGCTTTACCATTTTTCTTTTTTTCCGATGATCCATACTCGTTTGGTCGATTTCTCCGTTGATTCCATGTGTACCGAGGCATCGTCATGCTTTTCGTAGCAAGGGTTTTTTTTACGCGGTAGGGTTGCTGGCCCTACGCACAACCCTCCTCTTTTACCTGGGCTTGGGACCAGCTAAAAGTGAACATCTCAAGTTTCAGTTAATTCAGTATTATATGTATTAGTACACTGCAGATCATGCATATATTTTCAGTGGAATATTACAAGTTGGGAATTAAAAGTTCAACAGGCAATTATTTCTCGTTATATTCCTCGATTTTTTTGATGTCAAACGGTTTTAGCTATTATACACTCAAGGTTTTCATGTCATTTCGATCTCGTTTTTTTTTGCTTCCGGTTCTTGGGCGGGGTCATTTTTGACTGTTGTATAAACGAAAATGGAAGTTATCAGTTATATCTCTAAACCAGAAAAGACCCAAAAACTTGGGTAAAGAGACTCCGGGCAAGTCACTATCCTCTTGTCAAAAATCTCCAAAAACTCCTCTTTGTTCCCCTCTTCAGTGGCAAAAGAAAATATCACACTACACTGAAAAAAAAAGGGTCAGATTTTAGCCGAACTGGTCAGTTCAGCGGCGATTAGGCTAATAGGCAAACTGTTTGAAGTAGGAAACAAAACCTTTGAGCTCCTAGCATAACCAAGTTTATATACTATCTAAACCTCATTTTAGATTCATCACAAACCTAAAAGTTTATGTTGTATCTAAACCACTTCTAGGTAGTATCTGAACTAGTTCGGCTATAATCCAAACTGGCCATATACCGTCACAAACTGTTTAGGCAGGTGCAGTGACGAATCACGTGCGTTTAAAAAAGTCCGTTACTTTTTCAGTCTCAGTTGAAATGCTAATGGCGTCGCGAGTCGGTCGTATCGAGTCGGTTAACGAATTAAAAGTAATAAAAATTGATTATCTCAAGTGCTGTGCTATTTCAAATTCACCGCTCATTCTCGGAATCAGTGGCGCTCTCTGAATGTAGTAGAACTTAACTCTCAGTCAGTCAGTGCTGTTTGATGTCAACAGAAACTGATAACAATAACACCATCCCGGTGGGTGAGTCAAGGTATTATGTTACTAATTCTTTAATCATTAAACTAAACACATCTGAAAGCATTATTGCTGATCTTTAATCTTTCAAGTAAGGCAGTGTTCCTCCGTTCAAGAGTGTAGATGTTTAATTAATCTGTTCATTCGAGCGGCGTGCTGGTGCTGCGTGACAAGAATTCGCGTTCGAAACCGGAGGACTTTAGTCTGACAGTGATTCTTATCATCAGTTTGTTAAATCAAGAAACATCAGCATTATCCAAATCATCATTTGATCGCTCGATATCGGTGTTATTGTTTTAATACATGCGATAGTAACAGTGTGTACCTATCTATGAGTCGCTCGTAATTAGAATCAGGACCTCATGTATGTATCAAAGCTCAATATTTTGGTTTCTTTCAGCGGCACATAGATTTTAAGGTGACAATTTTTTCTCAGGTAACTCATCTGAAATATTTTTAACTTCGTATAACAACTTAGAAACCAATTTACATCTCCGCTCAGCGCCAGAACACAATTGTTTATTTTTCATTAAAGCTAACCTCAAAATATATTTTCATTCTTTATCCGCCTTGGTTTTTCATAACAGTCACTGCGTATCCAATATATCCATGAAATGGACTGTATTTTGTAGGAAGGTACCAAGTCGCATCAAAATCAAATTCAGGCAAAGAGGTTCAAAGTTTTACCACTTCATATGACTCGACCAGAGATTAGTTCTGGAGGAATTCTTTCAAAGGCTGCCCTGAAATCATTTTATTTCAACTCATTTCTCCATCTTCTCTAGAATATCAATCCATCAAACCTGCTTAGTTCAACATTATAGTTTCTAGCTCTTTACTGCAATTAAATTGCGGAACTATAATTTGACAGTTAGTAGAATATCCTTCAATGTACCCACACTTCCAACCTGCAGAACTTACTTTGCAGATAACTGAACAACAATGATTAGCACGGAGGAGAAGTTCGTAAGTACTTAAGTACATATACACCTACTAGCAACTTTACATATCTAGCCCCATTTTCAGTTACAATATTAATAGTATGTTTCATTTTCATGGAACCGGTTATGACTCCAGGTTTGTCTTCCTATAAGCTGTGTTTTTCTGTGCCCATTATTCAGGAGTCAAGAGTAGAGGATTGGAAGTCTGGAGAAGAACCGATCCATTTAATGCTACATCATTAGCATGTCCAAAATTTTAATTTCCAGAGAATTATGTGGTGATGAAAAGCCAGAGCCCTGTTATCCTCTGATTTCTTGTATTTTAATGATTTGAGTTTAGGTATCAGATTTGTAATGGGTGGGTAGTGTACCTTTTTGATCGATTGATGATAAAAAAATTGATGGATGCTTGTCCTACATTCAATTTAAATTTACAAGTACCTGTTAAATGAATTCATAACGAAAATCAAGAATTTCAGTGATATTATTTTTCTGCTGTCTACATACACTGGGTTCTTATTCCGTGCCAGGATTGTTATCATTTACCAAAAAATACCTTGAAACTGAGCAAAAGATTTTTTCTGGTATGACCTTTTGGAACTGCATAATAAGGGAATAATGCGTGTTTAGAATTTGACTAGGCATTCTATCCACTTTCCCCCTTGTAAGCTAATCTTTTTTATTTAAGACCTTCATCATTTTTTCCTATTTTTGAGAGAGTAAGGAAATGCTGATTATAACAAAATTTGAGGAACAATTACTTTCATCCCTGTTGAATGAAAAAAAATAAAACGAAGCACCTACCTAAAAAAAAATAAATAAAGTAAAAAAATACCATGAAGTAAAAAATAAAATAAAGTAAATTCATAAAATAAAGTAAATTAATAATATTAAGTAAATAAATAAAATAAAGTAAATTAATAAAATAAAGTCAATAAATAAATAAAGTAAATACAAAAAATACCTGAAGTCTAAAGAAAATCAACCAAAAACACAAAATGAAGTAAAACAAATGACGTAAAATAATATAATTAAGTGAAAAAATAAAATGAAGTAAAATAATGCATTAAAATAAAAATCGAACAAAAGCTTTGTAAATTGGTCAAGATATCCTGGTTGTCCTAGCAATTGGAAGCTAAATGCGGGTTTTTCGTCCCCGATCATTAAGTTCTCGGCATGGCTCAGTAGGTAGGATCCTCGTCTTCGGTTAGGTAGGTCCCAGGTTCTAATCCCGACGTAGGCCAAAAAAATTCTGCACGTAAATATCGAGAAATATGCCTCTAAAAGTCTCGTGGACCATATTTTTCGCGGTTTTAGACATTATTTCCGTAAATAATCCATTTTGGGGGGCTCTTTTCAACTGTCCCCTGGCTAAAAACCCCAAAATTTGCTGCCGATGCTTCAATTTAGCGATCCAAACCAGGTTTAGATTTATGCCCAACTAGTTTAGATATTAGCTAAACTTCCGAGTCAGCGTAGATACCAAAATCGGGTTTGCCTACTATCCAAAATAACTAGCTTGGGCCATATCAGCTATCCGGAGTTGGTGTTGTACGCCGATATTCCGGCAAAAATCCAAACCCTTTTTTTTCAGTGTACGATAGCTTACATTTCAGTCGTAGAGTACCCCAAGCGGACCAAAGAACGGAACTTTTAGTCGTTAACACATTTATTTAACAAAATCTCCGGGAGGTCACTGACAGGCTGCAGGCTGCTAGACCCTCATTGGATCAGAACGCATACCGTACCATTTTTTCCTTGTATGTGCCTCCAAAGTACATGAAATGACTCCTTGAGGGGCGGGCAAGTTTTACCGAAATTCACGTCGTCTTCTGAAAATATGCTCAAATTTTTACCACGAAGAAGAACATCGAGTTATCATTTTTTCCATACACTGTAGGTATGCCTATGACAGGCACCAGGAACGCCTTCCAAAATTATTGATGCAACCAGCAAGACTCCGAAGTCAGCGGAGACTTTCTTGAGGCGTCTCCTAAGATTTTCCCCACGCAATAATCCCCTTCAAAAATGAATGATGCAACAAAGCGCGTCTTGTATGACCGCGAAAGCTCCTCAGATGATTAGTCTTTTGGAGGAAGAATATTTTGGTCAGGTCAGAAAAATATTAAAACTTTATTTTTCGTCTTCTCTTCTCATTTCCCGCATTGACAGAGGCAACATTTTTTGGCAAGCATGACGCGCCGGGCCCAATGCTCTCACTGAGGATCAACATGTAGATTAGGCACTGCAATTGCCGTTTACATCTTGCAGTATTTTTGAAGTTTCAAATCCACCAATAAATCTGAGAAATTACTTTTTACATTTCTGCCAACTTGTAAATCCACTGAAGAATCTGAAACATTCAATTGAGCACATCTGTAGTCGTTCATAGCATCGTTAATGATGGAATGAAAAAATCGTCCTTCACTTACAATTAGCTATCTGTGTCCGACTCGTTTCCATGTTCGTCCAAATTTCAT